CCCAGAAAGCATGGTCTTGTCTTTAGTCCCCAGTAGTGCATACAGACAAGGCTGTGTGTGTGTGTGTGTGTGTGGAGGCGTGCGCGTGTGTATGTGTTCCACTTACAAACAGCACAGCGATATTTTCCAGCATGTTGGAGTTGTAGAGCCGGTAGGTTCTGTCCTCCCAGGAGCTCACAACACTAGCACAGGGCTTCTTCTTCTCCAGGGGCAAATACATGTAGTGCCTGAACAGAACCACACACAGGCATGAAGCAGAGCTGAGATGAACATCTGATTGATGTGCAGTCCACTGAATACATATTCCACAGTTTGTTTTGGTAACAATAACAAATGATGGTCAGCCATAAATCAACTTGAGGAGCTGGCAAAACTCGATTCTTATTTGTTCTCCTGATCAGTTTTTCACTGTGTCAAGGATGAAGGAAAATCTTGAGAAAAAGATTTTCTAATTCTTTAAGAGACCCGTGACCTGTGAAATTGTAGAAGAAGCGAATAAGTCTGTTCATATGATTTAAGCAGGAACCCCAACTGAAGCTCACTTAAGAAGCAGTCTGTTAAGTTTTCAAGCAGTGTGGATGAACTGCAGAGGACAATCTCAGCTGTTGAGCAGCATATTCAAATGAAACCCACCTGTTTCCCTCGACGATGAGTGGTTTCTCCGGAGGTGTAGCGGATTTCGAGGCTCCGCATGAATCAGAGGGATCTCTGGGGAGGAGGGGTGAGGACGGGACGGTGAGGGAGGAGCCAAAAATGTCACTGCTGTCCGGGAGGTCCAGCACCTTCCTCCTCCGAGTCACTGCAGGACTGGCAGCACTTGGTTGGACCGAAGACTCCAAGACATTGCCATGGTTACCTGAAACAAGACGCACAAGTAAAGAAGGGACCTATTGCTGACCCATCATGTCAGTGCTCACCCCGACAGTGTTACAACTGAGAAATAATCAACTGAATACCAGGTTGTTTTGTTTTTGCCTCAACTATATATTACAATGGAGGAAAAAAAAAAAAGACTTTCATTTTGTTTTCTGAGAGGTTTTGTCGTGACTCACCGAGGGAGAACTCAAAGCTGATGGGTTTGTCTCCAATCTTACGGTCGATCATGGTGGCCTCAAACAAAGCACCAAAGAGCAGGAAGGTCTCATCATCTTCAGCTGGCTGGACATAGAACCAGAAGTACTTGCTCAGTTTAAGTAACAATATTTACACTGATGCATGATGAAGTAAATCTAAGCAAGACGAAAGATTATGCATGCCTAATTTCATTTTTTTTTTCTTTAATGAGGGTCAAAATGTGAGTTTTGACCCTCATTAACTGCCTTTTTACCTAAGAGGTCTTATAAAAGGTTTTTAAGCTATTGGACCTGGTCCACTCAATATGGAGCTTCATCAATTAACTGTCAGTAATTAATTGCAGTACTGCTTTAGTACAATTTCATTTTGCTGCTTTTAAATAAGTATATTTTTTGGAACAAGCTAAAGGTTTTTTTTCTCACCACCGGAGGAGGATCAACAGGCAGGACCTCGGCTGCTCCTGCTTTTCCTTTGTCGTCATCAGCTGCCCCTGCACCTCCTCCTGCTCCGCCTCCAGCAGAAGACTTAGCATCCTTCCCACCAGCTTTTCCTGCTTTTGCGTCTTTGACAGGTTTAATCATCCGACTGAGTTTGGAGTCTGAGCCTGTGCCCCCAGACAGGATCTCTACTGTCAGTTCTAAGTAGACCCTGCCCCTAAAATCACAAGCACACAGTCCAGGGCATATAAATCAGGTAAAAGACGGCACTTTCTTTTAGTTGCAATATGAAGCAGTATCATATCTTTCTATGAACCTGAAGGAGACTCCCTCGCCGATGCCCTCATTGAGTTCCCCTGTGTCATCGCCCAAAGAGAAGTTTCGAGCTGAGCCGTACAGATTAATCCAAGCAGGACCGAAAGTTGGTAAAAACCCTAAGAACATGAAATAAACAGGGGGAAAAAAACCTCATCATGATTAAACACTTACATTTCCTTTCAACCTTCAGACCTGATCTAGACCTTCATTTCTTCTCACCTTTGTCTCCATCTTGTTCATTGGAGATGCGCCTCAGGTCAAAGTAATGGGTTCCTATGGCAACATCATTCATGCTCCCCTCATCCCAGACCTTAAAGGAAAATTAATATAAGATTCTAGGAAATTTCTACCTGCATGCACTTAAATTCTTTTTTCCAGAACTGTAAATCAGTCAGCTGTATCCAGCTTTCAGACCTGGATCTTTAATCTCTGACACAGGGGAGGAAACATCTCAGTGAAGACAATCTGCTCGTTCCACACGGGGTCCGCCGAAGACTTCTGGGTGGATGTGCGACCCTGAGACAAACGCGACTATAGTTGATCACTGTTTTTCATTGAGACATGAGTACACCATGACTGCAACCGTCCTTCATCCTGAAGCCATGCTTTACAGATAATATTGTAAAACAAGAAGCTGCTACTTCCTGAACTCAACTGGTTCGATTTGGAGCACCTGCAACTATGAGCTGCGTGTAGATTAGTTATGGGATTAAATGTGGTGACAGGGTCAACTTGTGTTGACCCTGTTTTATTGAGTCAAAGCATCCATGCTGTGACGTTGACTGGGAACTGACTGTCTGCAGACAGAAACCTTTAAAACCTTTTCTTCCACTAATCTGAGGTCTGGTAGCCAAGGTAACGGCTGACCTCAGAAGCCAGAACCGTCTCTGCTGAGGCCTTTCAACAAAGAGAAGCAGTGGCTCTGAGCCCAACTCCCCCAATCGTGGATCTTAACTCACACTCACATCTCAATTCAAGATGGCTACAGCTGAACTTTTAAACGGAAGCGACATTCAGCTCACCACTTGTTTGAAGAAGCTGACGACAACATATGGATCAATGAGTGCTGTGTTGTCTCCTATAAAGGCCTTCGTGACGTTGGCCATGATGCTGGAGTTGTTCCGGGGCAGGCCTTCGGCTCGGTACACTTTCACACAGAAACGGGCCCAGGGCCGTTCAGAGGGAAGCCCCTCTGGGATCAGGAGGTTCCTGATGACGGACAACGTTATCCCAAACCAGTCAAACAACACAGTTAATCTGCAAAGGCAGCATCTAGCGTTCGGCCCGCAGTGTGTTTAACGCTGCACATTAATTCAGAGGTGCTTCATACTTTTCTATCTGTTCTTCAGCATCACTTGCTTTTTGTCCCGGCTGCACGGCGTCACCTTTAGCTGAGACGCTGATGTCACATTTAACGTATCCTTTTACACCAGTGCTAATGTCGCCAGGATTGGTCAACATTGCCCACTTATTGACAAACTGGTGACCTGGGAGAGCAAGGCACAATTATTCAGTTTATCTCTCTACTTTCCATCAGAAGGAACCAATGAGGAAGCGTTGTGACGCTCTGCTACGTACTTTCACTAAGTCATAAAACATGACTGACCTGGCTGTTTGTAGACTGTCCAAACGTCCAGTTTAAAGGACCCCACGCAGAACGTCTTCAGCATCTTTGAGTGAACGACCTGCAGAGGACCAAAAAAAAAAAAAAACACCACAAAATTAACCTATAAATGCAGCAATAAGAGCTGCACCCAAAATAAATCAGCATTAAAGCGGGAAGTTGCATGTACTCTCATGTTATTACCAACCGTCAGCTTGATGACTTTGTCTAAGAAGATCTCTTTATGGGCAAAGAAATCAAAGACGAAATACTGATGGAGAGAGGAGAAATGAGATGAAGCAAAAACAGTTTAAATTATAAAGTAAAACTGCTAATGACTTACTTAAAGCCCTTATGAAGTTTTTCTAGCAGCTTTTTAAAGCATCTCTTTCTTAACTTTAAAAAGAGAAAATGAACACGTCCACTCATGTACGTGCATAAATATACCAGCAGGGCCGTAAAAAAAAAAAAAAAAAAATTGACATACCAACAGACGAGACAAAATGACAAGAAAAAAAAAAGACAGAGTTCAGCTTTCAAAATGCAAACATTAAGTAGAGATCTTAAATTGTTTGAGATAACGAAGTCTTCAGGATAGATATTTAAGATGCACATTTTAGAATTGAATATAACCCCTTTACTAATCATCTGACCAATCAACATTCAGCATGCGAGGACACACAATGAAATAAAGACTCTTTCTGGTAGCTAAATGTATTTAATGTAAGTGTCAGGAATATTAGGATTGCAGTGATGTAATCTAACCAGTAACATAGTTGGCCAGCTGTGTTGCATTAATGTGTCGCTTGTGTTGGCAGATTATGAACCAACATGGACGCTCAATCTGACCGACTGCTCGCCCCACACAGTGTCTGGAAACTTGCTTTTCAGCTCTAGCTGTTTCATTTCACCTCATTGTAAAATGGAGCGTTTGTTCCTTCCTTGACGGACGTCTGTTTCTTCTCGTCTCCAATCTCAATCACCACACTGGGGTCTATGTTTTCCCCCACAAGCTGTCTGGCTTCTGTGATATTAATGCCTATCTGCGAAACAGAACAAGAATAAGTCATTCGTCAGGGTCTAGGTAAGACGGAGTTGATCTGTTTTAATCGAACAGGTTTGCTTTTTCTGTTCTGTTTAGGCCGCTGTTGTTGTCACCTGGAAGCTCTCAGGTTTTCCTTCGCTGTCCTGAATGCGAGTTTGAAGTTTGGCTCTGTGGAAATCCACATGAATGTCAAATTCATTGCAAAACCTGTTTTGTCATCTTGCGGACAAACAGGGAAACAGATGGAACAGAAAACATTCATCCTATCTGAGTTCTCATGGTGAAGAAGTAAACTAGGTAAATGGCTTCCGATTTGCACAGCATCTTTCAAAACCCGTGAGTAATAATTAGAAAAATTATATAATCACGCTTCTATGTTGTTAGTACTCTCCAAAGAGGTTCTTCCAATTTGCTTTCTCAGTCATCTGAGACGCTTGAGTCGCTGGTATCACCTCTGCAGCAGGATGTGTCTTTTATCTTGTTACAATATATAACGTATATAAGTGAGGCATCACTGTCAATGATTTGATCAGCTTAGCTGCAACTTTTAAAAAAATGAAGTTGAGGAGGGTTTTCTGTACAGTAACGTTCAACCTGGGGGCAATTTGGAGGTGTGTGTGCTTCTCCACTGGTATGCTCCAGCGGTGAACCTGCAGCATACCAACGTGGAAGGCACATGAATGTGAAGACTTTGTTGTCGTGTCAGTTTACAGATACAGACATAGTCCAAATGCAGCTTTTGACCAAAACAATATCTTTTTTTATAGCTTCTATGTGAATTATTTGAAACATTTCATTTCATTTTATTTCATTTCATGAACCTGACAATAACTTCCACTTTTGCTTTCTGTCTGCTAGTTGTAACAGGATGCATGATGCTTTGAAATCCTTTTTGACTCCACCATAACTGAACAGTATATTACATAATAGATACACTCAGATATTGTACTCATCAGTTCCACAGTTTGATAACAGTGGTACCTCTTTGTGTTTGGTTTTATTGCTCTTCGAATGAGAGGCTGGTCTTCTGGGGTTTCCCCTTCCTGTACGAGAGATGCTTCTGGGGAAGCCTCGACCTCACTGTCTGCACACACACACACACACACACACACACACACACACACACACACACACACACACACACACACACACACACACACACACACACACACACACACACACACACACACACAAAACAATTAGGACCACAGTACTCAGAAGCTCTCAGTACTGAAATACCTTTATGTTCCATATCAGGAAACATTACAGTTCAGTTTCACGGGAATGGCAGTAACAATCTGTTTTCCTAGAAAACTGAAATCACCCATAGCAACCAGGACTGCACACAGTCTCAGCCCGGTGCTGACACATGCTTGTTTGACCAGGGTTCGTCTCACTCCCATGATGACAAGGGACAACTCCTCTGCTTATGATCACAGCTGAGACTCAGTGATGTTTGTTTTCCATGCCTTACCCACGGCTCCTTTGTTTGCCAGGACCAGGTCAGTGCCGTCTTTCTTCTTCTTCTTCTTCTTCACTTTCAGGCCAAATATCTTCTTTTCCTTCCTGCTAAAGGAACAGCAAGTTTGGCATGCAATCAGTCTCTCTTTATGGATTATTTTGCAACTGAGCTATAAAGCATTAAGAAAAAGATCCCAAACGTTTGGTGAAAGACAGTAGCTTAAAATACGGACAAGCTGTTATGAACTGAAAACGGAAGCGTGAAAGTAACTGGTAATAAAATGCTCTCTTTGGAAATCAGTAACGACAAAACCTATTGCACCTAACCTAAATATATTTTCTGTGGATATAACTTTGTTTATTCTTTTATTACACTATATGTTCAATAAAGTTAAACTCAAAGTGGATATTTGATTTTTGCTTTAAAATTGAAACTATTCAAGCAGAACATAGGCAAATTTGAATTTTTATGGCCAAAACCAGAAAATGATATTTCAGTTTGTTTTGATTTCCTTATGGTGTTTCAAATAGTACAGATTTTATTTATTTATTTTTTTCATTTTTCGAGATAGGTTCCAAATTCTGTGAACTTATGGGATGCACTGTTTGTTCTGTCCATCCCATGTGTGTTTTCACCACAAAGAATAATTAGCTGTGGATAGGATTTAAAAAAAAAAACCTTTGTTGCGCTTTCATATCACAATGCAAGCCTGATGTAAAAAAAAAAAAAAAAAAGTCCAATCACTGAGGCCATCAGGTGAAGCCTGTATGTTTCTAGTACAAGTTCAGGTTCTGAGTCCAAATACAATAAAACATGAAATATGGAAAGAAAACGCAAACAAAAATTTCTACTTAATGGACAAAAAAGAAAACAAGTGGTATCCCACATATACATCTTGTATTTTATATATATGTCAGATAAGTCAGTTAAGCATAAATTTCTAAAAATCTAACATGTTCCTGCCAGTATATCTTTCTTGTGATGCACGTAGATCTACGAACTAATTATATGAAATATGAACTTCAGAGACTCACCGTTGCTGAGTTGCAGGACTGCCCAATAGATCCATTTAGCTGATATCTACAGAGGTTTCTAGCAGGAAGGTTTTTCACTTTATGTATGGTCTTACTTCTAATTCTTCTCCAAAGATTACGCTACACTCTACTGTTTCCTCCTTTGCAAATCAGAAGTAAGACACAATAACCTATCTGCTGTCAGTTGTTGTGACTTTTGTCCACAACAGAACCGTCTTTCCAGAAGATATTCCTCACCTGACGTCTTCCGCTATACATTTCCTTAGTTCTCAGACGTCCTGAAGCAATTTACAAATTTTTCTTATTGCTTCATATGCAAAAGTAAAACCGATCGCTATGGAGCCTTAAATATACTGGCTATTCACTGTGAGACGATATTTCTGTGTCTAACCAGCTGTGGTTTCTGTTAATCGGGCTGTCACGAATACTGTGTGGTTTGTGGTTGGTGAAAGGGAGCAGCCCTTCTCTTGTTAGCCTCCTACACACACTGTCCATATGTAAATACTTTTACATATTTAATGTGCCGAACTGGTTCGACTCTAGCATGGCAGTACATTCAGAGTTCAACTATTTAAACACTTGGGATGCTTCATTCAATATTCAGTTCTCTAGTATGAAATGTTATTATACATTATGTTATCTCTGCAAAAGAAATAGATTTAATTTGACAAAATTGACTCATTAAGCAAAATATGTAGACAAGATACATTTTCTAGCTGAGGACCAGTTGAGGGTGTTCACATCAGGCCCCAAAGCAAAGCTTTCCTTTCTGCAAACAGCATGAGGCTTAAGCTCACAGCCTCTTTCTGATTGTAAATGGACATCATGCATCGACATGCATGGTGTGTAGGTGATATGATTCCTGAATGATTTTATTCATTTTAAGTGAGAATAAATGAAGGGGATCCTAATCTATTCATCACCAGTAATTTTATGTATTATTTCACCCAACTGTTTAAAATGTATTTCTCTCCATTTTCATTGTTTAGTTTTATTACTTCTTAGATTTCATATTACGGTCCCCAGAGGTTTCCTATTTTTAGTCAATTTGTAAGAATCTCAAAACTAGTTTTTTTTATTTGCCATCATAGTTTCTCCAAACAAAACAAGACACACTGTTAGTTTTAAAGAAACGTGTAAGTATTTATATTTGATTTTACTTCTTTACAGAAACCATTACAGGCAGGTTTTTACATAATTGCTTCCAGGGTTTCACAAGAATATTTCAACACCTTCCTGACCCATATAAAAGCTTTTGTCATTTTTTTTAAAGAAGCCATGAACAAATGTACAACTTTAAGCCTTTATTATATTTAAATGTAACATTGAACAGGGAATCTGAGCTCATTAAAGACTCAACAGCTCAAATGACTGATTAAATCTAAGACTTTTAAAGCCAGACCTTCAGACATACATGCAGGAAAAATGGGATGACATAACTTTAGATATGTGGAATTTCTTTGGAAATTCTCAAATATCCCATAAGTGTTGTGGGACGGATTGAACTACAAAACATCAAATGTCTCCATTATGCTCTGCAATGTTTCTGTTAGGCAAGCTTGAATTTGAGACGTAAATGGGGAAATCTAAAGAAATGTAAATAAATATCAAAATAAAATTCCAAACAGTACAATAAAATACATTTTGGCTAAGTAGAAAATAAACATCATAAATCTAAAACAGCTTAGTGTAAAACCTAAAGCAACTTTTGCTTATATGCCCAATTAACTGCAAATGTTGATTACTGAGAGCCAATCTCCTACCTTGGTTTGGGATCCATTGGTTCTCTCAGGACAGATTATGTGAAGGTTTTCAGACCTGCTCCAGTTTGACATAAAGTTTAACTGAAAAACAGATCAGCTGATTGGCTGAAGTATTTGTTCAGGGAATGATGATGCTGATGATGTGAAACTGAAGGAACATGCGGTTGGCCCGGCATTCTGCATTTCAGGTTCTTTCTTTTCTTTTGTTGGAGCTCGGGGCAGAGCTGTTGGTCAAATCGTCGTTTAAACGGTCATTTCTCATCATAAAGACTCAACTCGTGAGAATTTAAAGAGATTTTATTGTTCCACAAGTTCTTCAATAACAACAAAGCTCATCAACTGCCATCTGTTTAACAGACTTAACAGATGATAGGAGTGTTTACCCTGTGTCTGTGTGTGCGTGTGTGTAGGTAGACTGGTATTCTTGTGACCAGGATGTTTGAAACTGGCAGAGCTAACAACTCCACCCCAGGTAAACAGAACAGCTTGCAGCCTGCAGGCAGAGATCATGAGCAGCCGGGTGGATCAGAGTCGCCTCAAACTGAAAAATCTTCTCCTTATGTACACTGTGGACATCCAATAGACATACAGCTGATTTTCTTGAAGAGCCAAAGTTGCTTTGAGATTGATTTGAGAGTTGGTGTATTTATATATGCCGATTTAAGTCACACTGATGTCTGTGTTTTAATTTATTTGTGTGATAGCAACGCTGGCATGAAGAAAATAAACCCTAATTTCCAGTCCTGCAGCAAAAATGATCAGATTCAAACATGACTTTAACTTAAATGATTAAACCCTTAGATCATGGGTTAGGGTCACTTATTTTCTACTCATCTGAGGCAGAAAAAGAGTAGATGGATTTTTATTGACACGAGAAGATTAACACCAAGTCAAAAGGCTACAATTTTTTTTGCTAACAAAGCTGTACTCTCAAAGATGTACCCGTCTTTTCTTATTTATTGATTGATAGCATAATTAACTAATTTTTTCATTTAAGGTTCCCCATCCTTTTGAATCGGTTGGAATGGACCTCATCAAAAAAAACTGGCTCAAAGTCAGGACACCAAATACGTGTCCTGAATAGTCATCATTGACTATTTCACCAAGTGGCCACAGGCTCACACACTGAAGACAAAGTCTGCTCCAGAAGTGACAGATTGCATTATAACGGGTCCTCAAATTGGGTCCTCGAGGGCCGCCATCCTGCATGTTTTAGTTCTCTCCCTGGTTTAGCACACCTGGATCAAATGATGGCTCGTTAGAAGGCCTAAGAGGAATATTGACATGCTGGAAAGGTTGTTACTACCAGCAGGGAGAGAACTAAAACGTGCAGGATGCCGGCCCTCGAGGACCCACTTTGGACACCCATGCATTAAAACATTTGTGCATCAGTTTGAAGCCACAAAGATAATTTTGTAGCGAAGTTGTAGATGGCCACCCAAATACCTGGGATGAGAACCCAGATGCTGTGCTATTTGGACTTAGAACAAAGAAGCAAATAATTAAGAAGCAAATAAAGTAGGGCTCTGGTCAATCAGAGATGCATGATGCATTTAAGGGAAAAGATGCCCTTCTATCAAGAGAGAGCACCTACAAGTTATTGTACTTGGACATGAAGCAAACTGGTCCTGATATGGAACAGGTAAGAGAGGTACGATGACAATGGTTCAAATGTTAATGCTGTAGCAGTATTTAGCTAGCCTGGTCATTGCCTTCCTCCACTATTCCGCTTGACTCAAACCTTGCAGCACAGGCTGGGCTTTCTCCCATTGACTTGGATTCCCCTGGTAGAATTAGAATAACAATAACATGTATAAATAAATGTATACATATGTAGCTGTTGCCGTTGAGCTGTGCTTAATTATAGGTACCTAAACAATTTCTAATACGTTGAAAGCAGTAATTGACTTTGTGGTTCTTAGGAATCATGTCTTAATTTGCAGAATTTGTGACCATGAATGATGTGTCGAATCAGTGACAAATATTTTCAAACCAGCAGTGTTTCTGTTTTCACTCATAAACAATGGAAAATGAACTATGAACACACATGAAGAATCAATTGGTCCGTCAAACTAATTTTCCTCAACATTATTCCAATATTTGCTTAATTTAATTCCACTTCCTGAAACCTTTAGTTTAGCTGAAAGACATATATCATAAATGATGTGGTACTTAGAAACCAAAACACAGTTATACATTTATTTTTCACAGTGATAAGACTGTAAGTACATCTCAGTATAAGCATCATCACAGTTCCAACATTCAATCTTTGAATAAGAAATAATTGTTTTCTGTCACAATGTCACACCCACCATTAATGTGTCTCAATTCAAAGGCAGTTTAATGTGTTTTCGTGTCTTCAGTTTCACTTTTCCCGCTTTTCTTCTGTTCGCCATCAGGAGGTTTTATCTGAGAAAGGGACAACCTTCAACGTGGTGTCAAAGTCCAACTTGTCTGTCCTCACTTTACACATCCCTCCCGTTGGCTGCTGTTAAGCTCTGCTTTGTTATCGTCCCGTTTTACATCGTCCGCTGCCATCTTGTTTTCTTCAGACTTGAAAGGTTGGCCACTTGTAAATATCTGAAAGTTGCAGTGAGAAAACAAATGAGTAGCATAAAATCTAGAAATCTTAAGGTAACTCACTTTGAATTCAGACTAATGTCCATTGAAGTTAAACTAATGTTTGTCACGACAGAAGTTGGAGATATTGTGTACTGTAGCTGAATCAGACCCTTCAGACTTTGTTGTCTACAAAGTTATGTTGTTTTCAGATACGAAAAAAATAAAATAAAAGTGTGGCGTTCAATTTCTGAGTTATCTCATCAAAGGAACATTTTCCTCTTGGTTTTAAACGTGCAGCCGGTTGATGTCATCAGAGAAGAACTTGGATCCCACCTGAAGCTCTGTTAGCGTCAGCGCTGGACGTTTGACCTCACTCTGATTTCTGCAGTCTCCCTTTTACTCTACAGAGTCCCAGTGAAAATCACTGCTAGTATTGTTGACACATAGCATTATCCTGTCACTATTCAAATAAATAATGAACAATTGAAGAATATTAATGAGTGCTGAGTGGCCACTGTAGATCTACCAAACCCTAGTGTTAGTAATTGAGCTTGTTCTCCTCAAAGTTTGAAAAATAAAGTAAAGCTATTGCACAAATGAAATGTACATTGTCTGTTACATCAGCAGGGTCTTCTTCAGAATTGGACATTGATTTCATACAGCTGTGCAAAAGGAAGCGTCAGCCTTTTTACTTGCAATGCTTTGTAAGCTTAAAAATAAAGATAAAAGCAGGTCCAAACACCAAGAAACTTTTACAAACAACACATGACACAAAATGCAGAATCAGTTGTGAAAAGATCTCGACTGTTTTTCCCTAGACAGAATTTCACTATTGCGGTGTTTTCATTAAATAAAATATCCAATTAAAATCCCACGTGACTAAATTTGTAAATGCAATAAGTCATTAAAAAAACACATCACGCCATTATTCTCCTACCACTTCCTGTCATCTTCTTCGTGTTTTCCACTGGTAGTAACATCCAGTTCTGAACATGACTTGTGATGGGAAAAAAAGTGTTTCCATTGCAGTTTTGAAATATACACTAATTTTGATACAGCCAAAGAACCACCTCATGCTAGCGGCAAAACTTTTTATCAAAAAACATGAGTTTTTTTTTTTTTTTTTTTTTTAAACTGCGGTTATTTTTGTAATTCCACTTTGCACAATTATAAGGTCAATAAAAACACAGTTAGTATCTTAGTAAGGCCCACTAATCACATGGCAAAGTAGATCTAAACTCTTGATAGAGTTGATATGTAGTGCTAGGTTATGGGCAGAATTCATACTTTAGTCCTATGTGTCCTAAGCACATTCTTCTAGTTGTCCTGTCATTCCTGCTTATGCAACTTTTGCAAATCTAAATTATGGCAAACACAGCCGTTTTCAGCCTCTTTTATTATTCTGTCATGAGCAGAACAATAACGGACTGACTGAGTCTTGTGGAGTCTGATATGGTTTTAAGTAGCCAAACTTTCTGTCAATATTGTTCACTCCTTAGAAGTGCGTCAGTTTTCTTAGATGTTTATCACTGTTTGGAAAAAGTTTGGAAATTCATTTCAGTAACACTTGATTTGAACGGCTGTGCCTAAAACTGACATGACACTGTTACACTTAAAGTTGCATTAAAAATGTCAACTTAAAATATTATTTTACCAAATGACACTTTGTGACAATAGTCACGAACATTAACAAGGACTCCTTCATATTCCTGAAAAGTCATGTCAGTCTTATGCACACCCCTTCAAATAAAGTCTTACCTTGATTTGATTGGTGGGCAGCAACAACTACTTGTCAAAGACCAGTGATCCATTTCCTTCTTGCTGTTGTGTGTGAGAACCAGGAGCTGGTCAGCAAACTGAAGAAAAAAAACAACCTTTGCTTTTATAACATGACTTATGCTGACTTGGGATTAGCTAATTGATGCATTTGATTAACTGCAAATGATAAGTTACCCTACTTCATTGTTTTGTCATTACTGTTGCTTGTGTATTTTATTCCCACATATTTTTTTTTGTTTGTTTTTTTTGCAATGTTGCTTGATTTTTCTGTTAAAATTAGATATGCAATGTGTTGCTTTTAATGATTTGGTAAATTCGTTGTGGTTTTAACACCTGCCAAAGTGTCAACTACTAATTTAAGAAGGCAGGGTTACTTCTTCACAATCTAAACTCAGTCAATGCATTCAACAGACCACAGGCTACATGCATGGCAAAATCCAGCCCTGCTATGACTACATGACCATTGCCGAAGCGTCTCCTATTAATAATTTTAAAACTTCGTACATCACTGGGGATACTTTGTTACTATGTCCATTACTGATGTCATGGAAATGAAGAAGTGTCCCTAGACTTGCCTGATAGGATGTGGAGGTGAGGCACGACAATGGATTAAAACCTCTTTGCTTGGAACAAGAGGAAGGTATGCAAACCTACATGTAATAAAAAACTGTTTTATTGTTATTATTGATTTGGGGGACATCGACAGGCAGTGCTAAGCTTCAGATTCAAGCTCAGACAACCAGCCACTGACAGCTTAGATGGGAATCTTACCTGGGAAATGCTGGCTGGAACTTTGGGAGAAGGAAGTGATGACACTGGCTCGAAAAAGGAGAGATGGACTTTGAAGGTAAGGGTGTCAACGGTTCATGTGAGACTGGAGAGACTGCTTGGTGAGACATTTTGTACAAATGTAACAAAAATGTCTGGGCTGTTTGGGTAGATGTTGAAAAATGGGCAAACGTAGAAGAATGGAAGATGTTAGATGGATGATTCCATCCATCTAATGTGAAGGAAGTGAAGGATGCAGGCATATACATGTTGACATGTCTCCAAGATAAGGTCCTCCCAATGAGGTGGAGTAAAAATAATTTAGGAAAGAGTTTTGTTGGTTGGAAGGAAAACAAGAAGAAGGCTAAGAAGAGATTCCATGGGATAAGCCAGGGATTGATAAAGAAGAAGGAAGTCCCTTGTGTTCAAACAAAGATCAGTTGTGTCAGAAGGAGCAGGAGGCTTTTGAAATTGGAAGGCGGGAAGGTAAATAGGCATAGTAAGGCCTGGAGGATGATGGAAGGGTTGTTGTTAGGAGTACAGAGCATCAATACCTGCAGGAGTGAGAACCAGGGCTTGCAGAATATCAGACAGAGAGACAATCCCTCTCACCACATCTTCTCTGTCGACCAAAACTAGTCGATGAACCTGAAAGGAAAATATGAAACCATTTGGTTATAATCTTTTCAGTCACAAGTTAAGTGTGCAAGCTGGCTTTCTGCATAGTCTGGATTCATGACACCTTTTTTCAGCCACCCTTTTCAAGACAGCAGATTATCTTGCTACTACTTTACTCAACCCCAGCACCATCCTTTGTCACATCAACTCTCTGCAGCCCCTACATCCGTAATCCTTCTCCCAGGGTCGTCCTTTTTTCCTTTTCCCTGGCAGTTATACACACAACATCCTTTGTATGGAATATCCAGGCTCGTCCCTCACCTTTGTCTGTAAAACCAGTCCACTTCAGCTGTCATTTTAATACACCCATTTCTAACTCTGTCCACTTTGGTGACTCCCAATTAAAATCCAAAACCTCCAAATCCCACAACCCCCATACTCCCCCTCCTGGCTTTCTGATGAACAACCACTTGCTTTCAACTCTCACTACAGATAACAATATAGTTTCTTAATATGCCAGTTCACACACTATATTAAGCCCACCAAACCTGACTAACATTGACTACCTGATATCACACACCGTCTTGCTGTTCTTTCCTCTCTCTTTGGCTGGGACCTCAAAGTGTAACTGGGGTGTTGGGGGTGTTAGGGTTAGGGACTTGGCTCTTAAAATAGAGGAGCCTCTTGCTTCTCTATTTTAAGAGGAGTGAGTGGTTATGTGAGTGAGCTCTACAACTGTCTGAATAGATGCGCCACCTATTCAGACAGGCGGCGCATCTGTCTGCTTCGCATAAACCAGATTTCTTTTGCATATTTACAACTTGAGGGAAGACTGTTTTTTATCAGTTTGATGTCATCTTGCTAGTGAAATCAGAATGTGTGACTCGTTTAAGTTACCTTCAGTAACACCTAAGTTCTGCTGCGGCAGATTTGGGAATTACCTCAGCTTTAGCTATGCGGTCGATGATGGTCTCCAGTGTTTCGTGTGGATAACATTTAAGGACTCCTTCAACCCAGCAGGATCGTGATGCGAGGGCCTCTTTCATTGTCATGTTCAAATTGTTGTAGTTTTTTTGGGCAGCGAGGTTCTTGAGGGGAGAAAAATAAAGTCACAAAGCTTAGTTTCCTGTTGAATACTTAAAGAAAAAGGAGGCTGACTTTTTAAATTCACTTACAATGACATCAAATCTGGAGTACAGTGCCACAACTTTACCTGAAACCGGGGGTAGAAAAAACACAGATGAAAAAGTATTTGAAATTTTACCAACTGAAATATTTGAAATCATTAAACAAATATTAACATCAGAGGAAGATAATGCGATTAAGTCTTATGGTAAAGTCAGTCAAACAAGGCATCATGATCTGGGAATCTTGATGCTGTTGTGCAGCAAGTGTACATCACTTACTGCTATTAATGAAACTATGGATTGCAGATTGTCTGCAGCACAGTGCATGAGCTCAAGCTCACTTGGACAATGATCCTAAGAACATGAACAAGTCCACCTGTAAAAGTTTACCAACTTAAATTGAACTGAGAGGTTGTGGCATGCTGGTTAATGCTGGAAAACCCTCAAATGTGAAGTAGCACTGGTGTGGATTCACCAGGATTGTGTTGTGCCGTTAAGCCCAAATGTTAGCATTGTTTTGGTATACCTTGTTCATTAACCACAGGCAGGGCTGACACTCTTCTTTCCACAAAAATAGCCAGAGCTTCATAGACAGAGGCAGATTCCTGGATTGTTGCAATCTCCCTAAAGGTACCAATCGGCACCTCGTTGATCTGCTTTTGAAGAAACCTGGGTTTAGGAATCATGGATCCCTAGAAGAGTAGACTCATTAATTTGACGAAGCACGGGCATTTCTAGAGCACAGAGTGCAATCTGGAATTACAAACATGAGTCCTTCCTTACAAAGATGTGAAGGAATTTGAGGATCCGCTTGTGAGTCAGGATGTGGAGGACATTTCCAGAAGCTGGGTCAATAACTGGGAGCCGGTGGATCTTATTCTTTAGCAGGGAGTAGATGGCATCAAACAAACTGAAGAGACAAAAATAATTTATTTAGGCAAATCATCATAAGTAACAGAAACATCAGTCGTTGTGTAATTGAAGGATACAATGTGCTACATTTTATAAAAGTGAGTTACTGAAATGTTATTGGAAATGAATGAGCCGTATTTCATATGGTTGCTATTTTAATTGTGTCCACTAGATGTCAGTAATGTTACGTCCTCTCCAGGATCCCACAGACTTTTCGGGTTGTTCTCAGCTGAATGAGAAACAGCTGTAAATCTGTAGACTAATGAAACTATTTCATGTGAAACATTCATTTATGAAAGACGATATTATCACGGTGAAGTGAAGTTTTAAGACGTGTTTTTCTTTTACATTCAGTTCTTTGTAAAATCTGGGAAAATAGAATTTAAATAGTTGTGCATTGTAGAAATAAATAAAAAATAAACTAAGGCAGGAAATTAAAAGAACAAGTGTGCCTTTACCTGGATGCAGGTTTGATGCTGATGAGTCTGTTGACTGAATACTGGAGATATATTTCTGTACCAAAAAAAAAAAAAAAAACACAAAGAGAAGCAATTTTTAAACAAAAGTTTTGTGAGATTGTTGTTTTCAATCAAGTTCACTTATTTTCTTTAGCTTCATAAAGACAATACAATATAATCAATGCAGTGATCTCACTTACAAGCATACATTGCATTAATTATGGGATGGTAGCAGAACAGACTGGGATGGCCAGATTTCATCATCATCATCATAGAACATTAATCAGTAATTATTCTGAGCAAAGTTCTTATAATAACTCAATAAATCCTTGACAGTTAAAAAGGAATCAAAGCTAGCCAGAAAAGGTTATGTGAGTGGGCTCTACAAGTCAATAAGAGACATCTAGATGTTTCACAGAAGATCCATAAATGGATCCAGATGTTGAGTAGAAGTTATAAACTAGCAGGGTATTCTGTCCAGACCTCTCCATGTCTCTATTTTGTGTTCTTCCAGTTCGTAGATCTGAACCTGCAGACAGAACATGCATCCATTAGTCCTGCCACAGAGAAACTTCAGTCAGACTACAAATCACTCAGTGGGAGTTTAATTCTGAAGCTCACCAAGGGAGACTTGTAGTAACGATGAAGGATGTTAATAAAGTCCGTAATGGTTAGCATACCTGCACAGACAAACAGGATTTCTATAGTTACCAGATATGAAATTACACGTTGCAAAAATTTGAACATTTGCATGATGAGAAAAAAAAATCACAGCGTGCATCAGTAATGTTTCCCTTCCATGGTTAGTTTGTGGGTCAAACACCGAAATGTCAAAGACTTTTCTGAGGTGGGTCAGGTTAGAGGCTCTCTGGTCTGGCCCAGTCCCTCTCTTATTGCTGAATCATGAACTCTGACCTTTACTGAGGCAAGTGAGACTCCTGACGCTTCGGTAAGTGTTTTGGGGTCTGTTGGATGAATCGCAGACGTCTTGGAGTCATTTTAGTTAGCCAAACACAACTGATAGGCCCCAAAAGAGCAGAACGGTACGGTGGGTTAAAGTCACTCCACTTATTAAATGTCACCTCAGGCGGGTAAAAGGTTGACACAGGATTGTGGAACCATGGAGGAGCAAATGGTTCCGGCAACTTCTTCACACAGAGTGGACACTTAGACTGAACCAGTTCAGGAACCATGAATAAATACTGAGATGTTCCTGTTCCCACCTACAAAACACTGCAGCTTGCTGTCCCACAGCGGCGCCGCCCGCACTCCGTTCGCCACCAGAGCAAAGAAAGCCTTCTTCACCTGAGTGAAACAAAAACTCGATTAATACAATCCAAACCCATAAGAAAGCAATTTGTACTGTTTGCACCTGCAGCGTTGTATCAAAGATGACCAGTTTGGAGCTCCTGGGCATGGCATCGTAGCAACTGTGACTCTTCATGAAATTCATGTAAATGTAGGTGTCAGGATCTGTTCCTGCAGGGGGCGCCATGGGGTACGTGGCATATGTACAGACACCTGCGGGGAAAAAAAAAAAAAAAAACACACAAAGTGAGCTTGTAACAAAACTGAGAGCCTTTGAGAGGGCAGTAAATTCTCATGTGGGGTTTATAGAATGTAGGTGCGTGTCAAGCTGCAGGGTGGTTGTAATGATTCCCATCGCCCGTGTTTTACAGAAATTCCTCAGAGTGCAGGAATGTTCTGTCAGTGCAACATTAACTCTTTGCTACAAACTGTTTGGCTACAGAAGTGCTGCTGAGAGTGGAGCAGTTGTAGATAGAAATGATGCCCATAAACAGTCATAATGCAGCAGAGATGTGACTGGAAAGGAACGACCTCTTCCATCGGATGTTGGACCGCCGTGTAAGGCACAGATTGTCCAGAACAATCACCGTGTTCAAGCAGATGGTGATTTGTGAGTGTGTTTTGGCCCAGGCTGCCTTGGGTCAAAGGTCGATAATTGATTTTTGTAATTGTATCTTCAGAGCTGCAGCATTCTGTCCAGGACACTTGTGAAGAGAGGGGCTGGGCAGTCCACTGGTCACCCCCTTGACTGGGAGATGGACTGTCCAGACATTTGATTAGGACACACAGAAACTGCACACTGACTCATGAGCGCTACACTTAGCCTCAGTGATGTCTGTTTGTCAGCAAGACGCAATTAGCTAATCTTGTCCTTTTCATTTTGTGGATATTTTAGAACATTGCAACACATACATTTGCTTTGTACTGGATGGCAAATATTTTCAATCTTATATGAGTTATATATTTTTATACACGACTTAAAACATCATTTGAGTCCTAAAAGTTGCTCTGTTAAGAGAGATCAAGCAAATTTAAAAGTCAAATCAACATCTTCTGTTTTTTTTTTTTTTTTTAAAGGATTAGATACCTCTTCTCCTCACCGAGAGAACTTCTTCTTCCTCATACTCATCCATCTCAAACAAGGGGACCTGGAAGAGGGAACATGTAGCATTTACATTAGGCCTCTAGGAAGGCACACTTGCATGTAGGAAAACTACTCTACTTGTTTTGTTTCTCTTTGTTTGACCTTAGGAGTCACAGTTTTTGTTCACCAAGAAAAACTCACTGCAACCTTTAAAAAATAGGAGATCAGAGATCTCTAAAGTAATGTCCCTGCCACTCTCCTTGGAACTGGTGATAGTTGCTGTGATTAACTTGATTTTCTTGTTATACGACTCATGAATCAACACTTTGTCACAATTATAAACCAGGATGTACTTAGATAAGAAGACATTTTTAGCTCAAGGTTTTTACTTCATAAGCAACTGAAATGCTGAATTACTGGAATCTCAATGTTCTCTGTAACGCAGCCTGGGAAATGAGCTGAAACATCCAGGGGAGTAAAATTACCCAAAATGTCAAGGAAATCTTGAATTCTTCGACTTTTATCACAGTCGTTCAGTGAATGGTTAAATAAAATAATTAACTGCCATGCTTTATTTGATAGATGATAGATGTGTATTGAGTTCCGGTAAGAACGGCATTATAGAAATGGCAGAACAACATGGCGTCTGTTATGTGACAGAAACAAACATGACTGCATGTAGACGAAGCTATCATTACTCACACCATAGTGAAGCATGCATACCAATAAATGTTTTTTTATCGATACAACAAGCGATAAAAAACTAATCCTGCTGTAGAAAGAAAAAAAACACAGTTTTCAAAATATATAAAATAACATAATAATCTGAAAAGTGTGGCATGTCTTCAGAAGTCATCCCAACGACGAGAAGTAGCTCCTGCAATAAACTCAGCAGTTCCACGAGTTGCTTGCTAATTGCTGCTGGCTAGTCTGAAGGATCTGAGAAGAGGAGTGAATGGGGAGGGCTGTTCTGTGAAGCGCAAGCTTGGTAGCTTGGAATCTGCAGCTCTGAGGCGGAGCTAGGTCCACCCATGTGTTTTGCACAGCCGAAAGGTTGCCATGGAGATTGAAGGATTTCTCAANCATGTATTAGCGAATCAAAGCA